GGCTAGGTGGGCCGGGGCGGCCCAGGCTGGGACGCGCACAGCTGGAGTGCCAGCGAGTTTGAAGTGCAGAGGCGTACGCGTCCGGGGAGGCTCCTGGGGCTGTTGGAGGTGGCGCAGACCCGAGCTGGGGCGACAGGCAGCCAGCTGCACCGGGCCGGGTCAACGCTCTGGGTCACCGCCCCGGGTCACCGCCCTGGGAAACCTCTGCCGCGGCGTGTCCAAACCCGGTCGTTCGGACCCGAGAGGCAGCGGCCACGCCAGGGAAGTGCTGCCAGGTCCCAGGCCGGACCTACAGGGAGGGCCGGGGCGGTCTCCGCCTCCGAGTTCCGTCTCCGTCCCGCGCGCCGCTACCTCTGTTTCCAAATTGTGCCAACAGACGCGCGCCTTTTTTTCTGGGAATTCCGCGTCCGCTCAGCGCACGCTGACCGAGGTACCCCCGGTGCTGGCAGGAGGTTTCGGGGACACAAGGCGGGCGGAACGGCTCAGGGACTTACCTCTTTTCCTTTTATCCAAGCAGAGCCTCGGTGCGCTCCCAGGACCGCGAACGTCCCTCCCGCCAGCCGCACCCATGATTCTGGCGCGGTTGAACCCGCAGGTGCAGCCGCAGAACAGCGGGACGGACCTGGAGTCCGAGCAGCCCCTGAGGGCGCGCAAAGCCGCGGAGCTGCTGGTCTTGAAAGAGCGCAACGGGGTCCAGTGCCTCCTGGCGTCCCGCGGCAGCGACGAGCAGCCCCGGGAGACCTGGGGCAAGAAGATCGACTTCCTGCTGTCCGTGGTCGGCTTCGCGGTGGACCTGGCCAACGTGTGGCGGTTCCCCTACCTCTGCTACAAGAACGGCGGCGGTGAGTCCCCTGATGGGCTGGGGGTGTGGGACTCGGGAGGGGCTACCTGTCCGTAGCGGTGTCAGGGAGAGGAGCTGGGATACGCACGGGAGGAGAGGAGGAAGCACGTGGGCAAGTCTGGGGCGTAGGAAGGGACTGGACAGGGCTCACGCAGAAGGCATTGGCGTCCCGCATGGAAGAGGGAAATCGAGGCGCGAACACGGACTGATAGGCGCGTGGGGCACCAGGACGGACTGGGGCACCAGGCTGGGTGAGGAACCCTGACTTTGATGGTCCGCGAGAAGGGAGGCGATTTGGAGAGCTCTGGAAGGGGCGCAGGCGGTGACAAGCAGGCACGCGGTGTCCCTAAATCCAGCACTCTGAGCTTGATGGAGGACTTGGGCTCTCTGAAGCCACTTGGGAAGCCCTGTGCTCTTGGGGACAGAGACTCTGGAACAGAGTCACTCAAAGAGAAACTAGAGTCAGAGGGACTCCACTGGCAGTTGGTGCTGGTCGGCTGCAGGGGCCAGAGCGCCCAGCCTGGGTGGGATTGGCTCAGTAGGTCTCAGGAGCTGGCCTGGATGATGGAACCGAGGCTCCACCTCCTGGGGTCCTGGCCTCACGGCAGGCAGGGCGGATTGCATCAGGGGCCTAGAAAATGGGCGTAGCAGCCAGACTCTTCCTTTTCCTCTCCCCCTGCTGAGTGACAGTTTACCCACCTGTCCTGGGATGAGAGCCTAGAGATCAACTACAGCCCAGCCAGGTGGCAGAGCCCTGTGGGGAGCAGCCTAGGGGACAGGATGTTGGGTGTTATGGCTCTAGCTAGCTCCTTCCTGAGGGCCTTTGCTCCTGGGCACCTGAACCCCCTAGTCCTGCCCATTGGCTGTGATGAACTCAGAGGTGCCCTGCAGAGAGCTGACCTACAGGAAGAAGGTGGTGAAAGGGGCTCAGCTCTGGAATTCTCTCTCTATCCACTAGACCATCCTGCCTGGCAGGGCCTCTGGCTCAGGACCCCAGAGGGCCTCAGAGGGAGGCAGGATGAGAGTTCGGAGCTGGGTGAAGGGCAAGCTCATGCCCTTGTCCCATAGGGCCTGGGACCCAGCAGTTTGCTTCAGCGTGTACTCTAGACACATGCTTCTCACTGTGGGAGAGAAATGGGAACCAGAAGTGAAACTTTCATATTTTGCTCCTGCAGCTTCTCAAGGGTTTCTGGTCAGGTTTAAGCATTCTGGCCATTTGCACCCAAGAAGGGAGGAAATGAAGATTCTATGCCATTTTAGCAGGCAGGGAGATAACGAATGAAAGACAGACAGAGACACCATGGGATGTGCCATCCAGCTTGTCCTCGGTGACCATCTTAGACTGCTTGTCCCTAGACAGTGGAAGACGCCATCATTAATCAACAATATTTACTGGGTTCCTCTCGAAGTGAGGCCCAGTGCTGGCTCTGCAGGGGTCACCTAGATGTATGAACTACCCTGTCCGCCTGCCAGGAGCTTCAGTCACCCAGGGGCTTCATTGTCATGCTGCTACAAGTCATTTTTATTGTTATAAGTGTTTGTTGAAACTAAAAGCACCCCAGATGGCCAGTTGGACAGATCAGCTAGATGGATAGCCTGGGCCGTTTACCGACACTGTGTGCTCACTTGGCCATTGCCGCTAACACAGAGACTGCCTGCTATATGCAAGGTGACAGATCAGGTGCCTAGGGCACAAAACAGAGCCACTTTGCCACAGGTTCCAATTTTTAAGTGAAGTTGGCTGGAAGCCCTGTCTCCTGGGCTTACTAGCCCTGCACGTAGCTCATTCTGAATTGTTGGGTCATTTGTCTTTTTGCGGGTCTGTCTCCACAACAGTCTGGGGCACCTAGACAGCAGAGAAGTAGCTTTTTCACCCCTGTATTTCTAGTGCTGAAGATAAGGCCTAGGTCCTGGGAATGTGGTAGAAGATACCCAGCAGACTTCTTGAGCGAGTCCATTCATGAAATGGCCCAAGCCCTCAAGGATCTAGCCGTTCCAAACACGGCGGAATCCCTGGCGGTAACTAACAGTGAGGCGCATGCGCTGTGGGGGTGGGGCCGGCAGCCTGGAGATGGGGGGCCTTAGCCATGGAGTCCTGGGTTCCAACTTCTAGCTCTGTGGCTTTGGGTGACTTTCCAAGCCTCAGTTTCCTCATTTATCGAATGGAAACAGTGGCATCAACTCAGAGGCTTTTCGTGAGGACCAAATGCCCGCAGAGAGCCTGGCATGGAGGACGGCCTTAGTGAAGGAAGCTGCCGCTGCCTCTCAGCATCATGATGGTGATGTGTGAAGTGGGTGGGGGAGGTGGCAAGCACTCTAAAGAGCTAAAGAGGGGCTGCTTGGGTGAGACTCGGAGGAGGTGGGCTGTGGTTGGAGCTCAGCTCCTGGGGATGGAAGAAGTATGGACAAGTTTCGGGAAGAAAGGCAGTATTCAACTGTGCACGCAGGATCAGCTCAGAGCCTGCGAGCACAGGCTGCAGGGCAAGCTGGGGGAGCTTGGGGTGGAGAGGCGAGTTGGGGCCGGGCGGCGGAGACCTTGAATGCCAGGCTAAGGGGTGGGGAAGCGCTACCAGCGAGTTTCCGTTTCTGGCTACAAAGTCCACGGTCGGCACAGCAGAGCAGTGCGGTCCCCGCCCCTCTGGGGGATGCTCAGCGGGCCCCTTCTGGGCTTCATCTCTGCTGAGACCTCCAGGCTGCTCTTTGTGGATAAGTTCTCATCCCGTAATTCCGTAGTCAGCCCTAGAGATGGGCAAGCAGGCTAGTGCATGGGGATCGTGTAATTGTGGAAGAGGCCAAAAGACCGGAGTTCGAATCTCAGCTCTGTTACGCTGGGCACGGCACAGCCCCTCTCTGAGCCCAAGTTCCCCGCTATAGCTGGAGGTGAACTTAGATGAGCCCCAAGACCCAGCCCTCTCCTGGCCCCACACTGCACTCGAGCCGGAAGACTCTGTTTGTTGACAGGCCGTGCGCTCTTCTGGTGCCAGTCTTAACACGACAGCTTCAAAATCCAGTTGTTCACGCTGGTCCAGACTCGAGGGTGTTTTGAATTTATAAAGGTGCTAATGGTTTAGGCCGCCGGCTAATTTTCCAAATGAATTCCTGGAAGACATCATCCTGTCTGGTTATCTTCCTGTAGGCCAGCTGCTGGGGTGCATGGGTGCAAGAGGCTTCCTTAGAAATTCCAGGGCTTCATTCAAAACCCTCTCAAACGGGGAGGCAGTACCAGGCAGTGGGGCCGATTCCAGGGTTCTAGATTCTCCCTCTGCACCTGTGGCCTTGGACCTGGCTTGTCCTGGTCTCTGGGGGTGGAGGTGGGTGGGTCCCCATGTCTTCCTACCAGCCAGGGAAGAGGCCACTGTGAATCAGCCTTTGCAAATGGCTTCTGCCGTTTGAGACATGTCTTGCCAACCCGCTCTGAGATTTAATTTCAGACAGACCTGGGTTTGAATCCGGGCCTGACAGGCTACTTGTCCTCTCTGGGCCTCTGTTTCCTTGTGCAGAAAAGGGGACTCAACGCATCATCTCGCAGGGTGTTCTGGCATCACAGAGGATATAGGCAAAGGACTCAAAACAGTGCCTGGCACGTAGTAGCGGCTCAGTGAGTGGAGTGGTTACTATTATTTTTTGTTCAGTGACTTTTGACCATGGGTTAGACCTAAGAGTGGGGTAAGGTCCTGACTTTGGGGGGAGCAGAACTGATTCTAGGAGGAAACTGATGAAGGGAAATAGGGCCGGAAATAGTCATGCTCGAGTCTGGGGGACTCAAGAGCCAAGACGGGGCATCACTCCATATTCCGAGAGCCTAACCTTGTCTCTCTGTAGTTGCCTCATCTGGAGAATGGGGATTAACATTTTTCCTGTTTTCATGAGGCCCTGTGTGGTGCTCGGTCCCCAATGGGGCTCTCCTCCTTCCCCAAGTCAGCTCAGATTCTCATCGCCCTTTAGAGCCATCTTGGCCAAAAGAGTTGGTGTTGTTGAGGTGGTGCTTGGTACAGAGGGCAGGAGTTTGCAAACTCGGTGCCCTCACATCTGGCCTGGCTGCAAGAGGGCCATCTATACCCCCAAGCTTGCCAAACCGAGTTCAGCTCAGATGCACACGAGGCAGCCAGCTGTTGAGGCCCTTCGGATGACGAGTTTGCAGGAATGAGGGACTCGTCGGGGGCTGGAGCTGAGACCTTGATCTGAGGTCACCAGCATGATTTGGCCCATTGCTCTGAGCTGGCCAGAAAGATCTAGAGGGGCTGTTTCCAGCAAGATGGGATTTTACGGGGATAAATATTACATCTTGCCCTGAGGTCCCAAACCTAACTGCCTAAATGAGGATTAGGTCACAGCGTGAGTGGAGAAAGGCCCCGGGGAGTTCATTAGCTTCATTCTCTGTGTGACTCACTGCTGGGATCCATTTATTTAACCAAAAAAAATTTTTTTTTTTTTTTTTTAACTAAATGCCCATCATATGCCAGGAATGTCAAGATGAGCAAAAGGCAATCCCTGCCTTTAGGGAGCTCGTAGTCTATTGTAGCTATCCTAAAAATTCATGTCGGTTTTGATTCTAGTACTGGAGGTATTATATCCCGAGTGAGGAAGGTGAGGTCCTGCTCTGTTCTCTGTAGGTTATATTTCCCTCTAATTTGTTCCTTTCAAAGAAACCAAGATGGAGGAGATGGGAAGCCAGAACATTTGCAAAGCGACAGACAGCAAAGGGAGAATTGTCCCAGGAGGATGGGTGGTCCCAACACCCATTTCCCTGAGTTCCACGCCCACTGCCCTCCTTAGAGGAGAGGGGTCCATCTATCAGGGGAGCGGCTCTGTTCCCTCACTGGGGCTGTTCCCAGGTCTCAGCGCTAAGGCCCAGAAGTCGGGTGGAAGGACCCAGCGTGAAGGTGAGGGAGTGACCCCTTGTGGGGCCAAAAAAAGCCAACTGCCATCCCTTTGTGTGGCAGTCCCTCCTGGAGCAGCCGGGACCTACCTGTACAGATGCTCCTGGCTGGTCTCAGTAAA